ATTAAGTCATGCCCGACATCTAGGACCACTTACCAATACTGGGTACATTATACAGTGATTTTTGAAAGGGAAGTTTTTTCTTTAAGAATTTCAGAATTGATAGAAAATGCTCCTATCCTTCAACTACCGTAAACTAAAAGTATAGAGATTAAATGAAATTGATTGTTGGAGGTGAATCTTTTACATAAGTTCATCATAACTCAGTTAATTGATTGTGATTATGCATTGATATTTTAATATCCCTGAGAGTTTATTTATCCTCACTTATAGCAGCTAACAACAACTTAGGTCAAGGAGAAATAAAGCACAGAAATTAAGTTATTTAATAAGGTAGCTGATCTGTAAAGGGATCTGTATTTTTCATGAGTAAATATTTATTGACCTCCCTTTATGAACAGGGTACCATGTTAACATGTGAAATATAAAGTATGTATAAACTATAATCTTTGTCTTCCAGGAACATAAATTGCTTTTGGTAAAATAAAACATTGCAGACAGTGTTACTACTTTACTGTTAAATTCCACAGCCTCTACATTACCGCTGTCATGTAACCTAGTCTTAAAAAATTTGATCATTAAAAAATTAACTTTTCAGAAACCTTTTGTGGGTCTAAATATGAGCCTATACTTGACTATTTCCAAGGACAGAACTAGCAGTTTTTATTATTAACTGAAATTCTAGGCCTTTAACACATGGTGTTACTCTCCTTTTTTGCTGATTAGGAATTGATTCACTAATTACAAGCCCATCAAATTTCACCAATCCATAGAACTCTGTCTTGTTCATAGCAATATAATCTCTTGCCTAAGCAAGTACAGTAGTAGTGTAGCCAAAACTTACTTTTGTAACCAATTTTATTTGCCTCTGTCTTAAATCTGATTAATTTAGGACTTTTAGTATTTTTGGCACTTTTCAGACATGAGAAATTGTGATGAACCTTGTCATTTCCTCTTAATCCCTTTTAATAGAAGCTGGATCATATTATCGGCAAGGAATTTAATTCTTCAGAGGTGCATCATTTATGTTTTTTGTTGTTCTTGTGTGCCGTCGAGTCAATTCCAACTCATAGTGACCCTACAGGACAGAGTAGAACTGCACCATAATGTTTGCAAGGCTGTAATCTTTACAGAAGTAGATCGTCAGGTCTTTTCTCCCATGGAGCAGCTGGTGGGTTTGAACTGCTGACGTTTCAGTTAGCAGCCAAGCACTTAACCAATGCGCCACCAGGGCTCCTTATGTATTTTTAACTACGCACAATTTATAAGACAGTAAAATACGCAAGCACACCACTTAAATATCTTCACTTCTCCATCCTCTCATTTTTACGTTAATATCTTTCTCATTTATAGAGATGTTGTCTTAGGCCAGGTTCTCTACAGAAGCAAAACCAGTAAAGCATGTGTATATATGTAGAAAGAGAGACAGAGACTTATATCAGGGAAATGGCTCACATGGTTATAGAGGCTGGGAAGTCCCAAGTCCGTGGGTCAGGCTGGAGGCTTCCGACTCACATAGCTGCAGGGGCTGGTGAACCCAAGATCAGCAGGTCAGACAGCAGGCCTCTGTCTCACAGGCTGTGGAGGCCAACAAATCCCAACATCGGCAGGTAAGCTGCTAGCTCAAGTCCCAAGAACCAGAGGTCAGATGAACAGGAGCCAGCTGCAGGATCCAGAGTGAGCAAAGCCAGCGAGCTTTGCCAGAAAGTCCACATATATTGGATGCAGGCCACATCCTCAAGGAAACTTTAAATTAATTGGTTGCTCATAGCAAATCTCATCACGCGGGTGATTACATCAGATCTCATTATGGAGAGATTACATGACCACACAGCTGCCAGACTACATCATGACTGCCAAACCACTGAGAGTCATGGCCCAGCCAAGATGACACAAACCTTAACCATCACATTTATGTCTTGCCAAATTTTGCATCTGTATTTTTCAAAATGTTTTTGATATCTTTAACTTGAAAAATAAATGGCTCTCCTCAGTAACTGCAAATAGTTTGTACAAGGAATATTTAACAATTTAGTCTTACTGTCTTCTGTTTGTTTGGGTATAAAGGTTTGAATGCTAGTATATATGGCCACATAGAAGGTGGGTGGTCAATATATATTTCCCAGCTTTCATATCTGAGTTTTGGAAACTGCTGGCCGAAAAAAGAGTTATTTCAGATATTTGGGAAGTGAGCAGGATGGGAGGAGGAAGGTATATACTATATAGACTTTAGAGTGGGGCAACCTCTGAGGTAAAAGGGACTCAATCTCACGTGAAAAGAAAATGATAAATTGTTACACGTGCAAGTTTATTTCCCTAGTAAAGTTTTTATTCCACACACTTGTGTACCTTTCATGTGCAAAGCTCTTTGTTAGGAGAACCACACCAAAATCAGTTGCCAGGCCTTTCTTCCAAGGCACCTCTGAGTAGGTTTGAACCACCAATCTTTCTATTAGTAGCCAAGCATTTGACTGCATCACCTAGGGACTCCATCTCTTAGAAGAGGGAGAGACACTAAAAGTTCAAGAAATACAGCCTATGCCCTGAGAGAGTTTTCAATTTTGTGTTCAACTGCTTGGCTAGTAACAGAAAGGTTGGCAGTTTGAACCCAGAGGCACCCTGGAAGAAAAGCCTGGTGATCTGCTCCTGAAAAGTCACAGCCATGAATCCTATGGAGCGGTTATACCCTGAAACACAAGGGATCACCATAAGTCAGAAATGAATGGACAGCAACTGGTGTTTTAACTAAGATGAAGTATTTTGATTGATTATTCTAATCCTTTTGTGTGAAAGAATAAATGTCCCACTAGAAACTATTTGAAGAAGATGGTACCAAGGCTTCAAATAGTTCTGTCATGAACTAAAGCAAGATACCTTTAAGAGGTAATGTACTTACAAAACATTAGCCTATTTTATAGTGGCAGTTCTAAGAACCTGATGTTATGAACATATTTTAACACATCTTTGCAGCTGTATTTGATACTAATTGGGGGAAAAGTTACTGATAACCATTGAGTAACTTTACTGCCTGATGGTACAAAGAAATTGAGAAATATGAGAATCAAGGCTTAGTAAAGTAGGTTTGGACTAGGTTTCTATCTTTAACATGAGGACAAAACAAGCACACTTAAAGTGTGCATTTATGGGATAAATGAAATATTTTCAACATAAGTGAAAAACATGCCATAACCTTGTTGACATTTTATAGTGGGTATGAGGTGTGCTGCTCAGATTCCTCCCCTCCCTACTGTCATACACTGAAGCACTCATCTCCCAGCTTCTGGCAATCCTGGTCGCTGATGGTTCTCAGTTGAGTTCCTCTCCAGGAATTATCTCTAGCCCAAGCTTACGCCCCTTATGACTAAGGTATAAAGGCTTGCCTCCTTGCCTAGATGAGGCACAACTGCCAAGCATCCCAGCTCCAAGGAACTGGCTGAGTACTTCCCTGACTGCATCCCAGCCCAAGTTCTTCCTCCTTCCCAGTCCTGCTTCTTTTCCCTCTCTCAGAGGTGTCCATCTTAAACTTTCTGCACCTTCATCTCCATCTCTGGGTCTTACTTCCCCAGGGAACTGACCTGAGACAACATACTAAATCCAAAGCCAACAAAATCTATTTGATTTTCACTTACACAACCAAATTACTCCTGCCTTTTATTCTATTTGTAGGACAGGGAAAAAAATTACTTTCAACCTTTTCTGATTCTTATTATTTTCATTATTTTATGAAAATGTAAAACATCAACTACTGCCTTCCCCACTTGGTAGACCATACAGACCTCTACCTGAAGTTCCCCCACCTCTACACACACACACACACACACAGACACAGACACACACACAGACACACACACACAGACACAGACACACACACACACACACACACACACTTTAACACCTATCTCCAAAGTTAGGGTCTTAAAGGAGTTGAACTCCAATTAATATTTTCATTTCTAATAGCATACCAAGATGAGATTGGCTTTTCATTACAGTACCGGTGATACTGCAGGGTTTTTAGTTTATTTGTTTTAAAACACGCTCCATGTTCTTGGAACAGTCTTGGCATTTTGTGATTTTGGTAGGTTATTTCCATCTCACATGCATTTCTCAGAATTGGGTTGAACTCATACATCACAGAATATTCACAATCTTAATTCAACTTTATTAAAGTAAAACTATTTAAAATTTTATTTAAAATTTAATATAAGGAAGGTTTAAGATTTAACATAAGGTTTATGCACATGTGACTTCATGAAGTCTATCAAAGATAATCATACAATAATGAGACAATCGTTTAACCCAAACAGCAATGCCCTCTAAATGGAATGTATCTTTTTCATTCAACAAATATTTGGGTGGTTATGATATACGAGATACTGGGAGGCAGCAGTGAAAGAGATAAGCATTCCATGCCCTCGAGAAGCATACAGTCTACTGAAGAATATAGACAATAAATAAATAATTTTAAGTATAATACAGAAGGTGCTTATACTTGGGTATGAGCTAGCTTCACAGGCAGGGATGAGTTTTACAACTTTTTCTCATTATCATCCTAAGTAATATAAGGAGGCAGGGAAAGCTTAGGAAAGAAATACACAAAAGCATTGAGAAGTGGTAAAGCTGAAGGGGAAGGCTACAGCTTTTAGTTTGAAGATAACCTACTAGATGGTGCCCAGTTACCACCATCGACTGCTCTGACAGGGATTGCAATACAGGTCCCAGACAGAGCTGGAGAAAAATGCAGAACAAAAATCCTAACTCACAAAAAAAAAACCAGACTTACTGGTCTGACAGAGACTGGAGAACCCCAAGAATATGGCCCCCAGACACCCTTTTAACTCAGTACTGAAGTCACTCCTGAGGTTCATCCTTCAGTCAAGATTAGACAGGCCCATAAAACAAAATGAGACTAAATGGGCACACCAACTCAGGGGCAAGGATGAGAAGGCAGGAGAGGACAGGAAAGCTGGTAACGAGGAAGCCAAGGTCTAGAAGGGGAGAGCACTGACATGTTGTGGGGTTGGCAACCAATGTCACAAAACAGTATGTGTATTAATCGTTTAATGAGAAACTAATTTGCTCTGTAAACCTTCATCTAAAGTACAATTAAAAAAAAAAACAAGAAGTAGTTAACCTATTCCCAGCACATGCAGATCCCAAATTTTGGGTGCTTTTCAAAAAGTAACTAAAATTTTATTTTTGCTTATTCCTTTGTTTATATACTTAAACCTGAAATTAAGCCATAAAACATGAGACCCTGGCAAACTCATGTCCTAATCTCAAACAATCAAAAGTATTTAGACCTAAATAAGGCAGACATTTCAGTAGCCTTAACAGCTCCAGGAAGGCACATTAAACCTCGTTTCATATTTGGAAAATCAGAAAACTGGGTTAAACATTACATATCTCAGAACATGTTTTAAAGTAATTTGCACAATTTAGCCTCACCAAAACACTGGTTTGAAGACAACTTTACACCAGTCTTTTATCATAGCATCAATGAAAACTATTTATCAAGAGGGAGTAGCATGGGATAGGGAAACAACATAAACCAAACCCTCACACTTTCCTTTAACATTTATTGAATTTCAAAGTGAATTAAATATGACTAAAACGTCACAGTAATGGGACAAAGTACGGTTTGTTTTAAAAGTGTACATACGTTTTGTCCCTTGAGAACCTATTGATCTGAATTTTTGTACAGTAAGCCACTTAATTAAATATGGCTCGATTTCCAGTCTAAGACCTTAATTGACACACTCAATGACAACAGTCTTATAAATTATACTCAACTACAAGTCCTCCCTCTGGTTTTTCCTCTGGGCTTTGTAAATATGTACATCTTTTCCAGGATCATAGTGAACCTTACTCACAGTAAACTGTCTCTCCAGCATTGCTAAGAAGTTGTTATCCCGTTCGTAACGAATTCGGCAAGCTAGCAGAATCACGGAATGGTCACTACAGAGATATTCCAGTGTTTGAAGAAGATCTGTAAACGTTTCTTCTAAATATATGATATCAGCTCCAAGTATCAGGTCAAATTCTGCAGGTAAAAAACTCCTCAAATTCTGTCCCCAAGTCAGCTCCTTAACAACAGCTTTGGGTTGGATATGGGGAGGTAAGTTGGCTTGAACATTTGATTTAAGAAATTCTAATGCTACTTTTTGATCCGTGATAGTCACATGAGCACCTAGAATGTGAGACAGAGAGAAAAGTCATGTGCACATCAGTAGAACTGTAATGGGCAGAGAGAGGGTCAAGTTAAACAGAGCAGAGTATGTGTCTCTAAATATTCCTCCTAATGTGCTAAATACCACGTCCTTCATGGGTAGTGGAAATCGATAAGAACAGTGACCTGCAGCTCCTTCTGGACTGCCTTCTGGCAAATGCGAACCTTTGATGTGCTTCTATGACACATCTGCTGTTTGCTGAAGTTGTGCCTGTGAAGTGCAGAGTCACCAAGTGCCAACAACCTGCTGCTTCCAAATTCTGCAAGACGAGCTGGCCCACCCCCCATAGGTGCTCCCACTCTGTATCATTCATTAGGTCATGTTCTTCAAGGCAGTAGGTCTCAGGGTAAAATAGAATCCAACAATAAAAAATCTGGCAGTAGTCTACTACAAAGGTGGTTAAGACACCAAAAACAGAACGGTTGCTCTCTGGAGTTAAAGCTAAAAGAGAATCAAGGAAGAGATTAATTGGCTACTACAAAATGCCAGTCCACCTCTCTTTACGTTATTATGAAGCAGCGAACCTATATGCATTTATGTAATACATATGTAATTATTAAGAAATGATAAACTTAGAAATTAGTCGATTGTATGAAAGTACTGTAGGTTAAAATACTAGATGATGTTATTAGTACTAACTTTTCACATGGAACATGGAAAATTAATGAGCAATATTTTATTTATTAGGGGGCAGTGGGGGTTCAATGGAAGAATTTTCGCCTTCTATGCAGGAGACCTGTGTTCGATGCCCAGCCAATGCACCTCGTGCACAACAACCATCTATCTGTCAGTGGAGGCTTGCGTGTTACCATGATGCTGAACAGGTTTCAATGGAACTTCCAGACCAAGATAGACTAGGAAGAAAGGTCTGGTGATCTATTTCTGAAAAATCAACCAATGAAAACCCTACAGATCACAACAGTCTGATCCTGTCATGCATGAGGTTGCCATGAATCGGGAGCCAACTCGATGGCTCTAACAACAACATTTTATTTATTAATTTGTTTGTATGGATTGTTTACTACGAACCAAAAGATATAATTTTTTGACCCAATATGGCTTTGAGAAAACTGAACATAAGGTCAGCCCTAAAACGCTTCATCTACATCATAGTAACAATAAAGTAATGGTAATCGTATTCTGTTTTAGCCCCGTATGTTCTGAAATTTACAATTCTGTTTCAACATTTCTAAAATTATTTTTAGGCAAAGAATGCTGAATATACCATGGATTGCCAAAAGAATGAACAAATCTGTCTTGGAAGAAGTACAGCCAGAATACTCCTTAGAAGTGAGGATGGAAGACTTTGTCTCACATACCTTGGACATGTTATCAGGAGGGATCAGTCCCTGAAGGACATCAAGCTTGGTAAAGTACAGGGTGAGCAGAAAAGAAGAAGACCCTTAACAAGATGGATTGACACAGTGGCTGCAACAACGGACTCAAGCATAACAACGACTGTGAGGATGGTGCAGGACCAGGCAGTGTTTCACTCTGTTATACACAGGGTGACTATGAGTCAGAACTCACTCGACAGCACCTAACAACAACAGCAACAAAATTATTTATCCGCATCCTTCATCAATTTGTAATCTTTATAGAGAATTCTCCCACACGATTCCAGACCAGCTACAGTAAGCATCATTCCAGTGGTAGCTTATACTGTTTCTTATACTGACATGCAACATTAGGACAGTATTTAATTCGACATTTGTTATCCTAGAGTGTGATACTGATGCAAATACTCGAGTTGTTAGATTGCACAAGCCTGGACCTACCACCTGTGTCCTGGGAACTTCAAGCAGTGCAATGGTAGTGAAGAATAAAGACTGAGGCTGAAGATTCAGGCAGGGTGTGATTGCAGAGCCAGTGGTAGGCACAGAAGGTTTAAGTACAGATGACTCGATCGCTTTGCATTTTAGATGGACCACTCTGACTGCTACGGGGAAAGCAGAGTTGAGAAAATAAAGCAGAGGCAGAAAGGCCAGGTGGGAGGGTGAATATGATCATGCAGGAGACAGATGACAAGAGCTCGATCCAGGGCTGTCTGACAGCCTGGGTTTGAGTCCCAGGTCTCCACAGACCAGGACATCAGAAAGTAGCTTAGTTTCCTGGAACTCCAGTTTCACTTGAAAAATATGAAAATTAAAAATAATACCTACCTTACATGGGGATGTTATAAGGCTACCCCAAGGAGAACAGGAGGTTTGGCAGTGGGGGGTGGAAAGGGAGAAATGGATTCAAGAAGTAGTTAATAGACGGAATCAGCAGGGCTCAGGGAAGGTTGGGAGGGGAAGAGTCAAAATGTTGGCTTAGGTGATTACTTGGATAATGATGCCAACTCAGGACAAAGGAGAAAGAAGGAGTTTGGAAAGGTAAGAAGAATTTGGGTTTAAACATGGATTGTTTGAGATGCTGGGAAGTAAACAGGGAGAGATACCTGTATCCAGTTCTTAGTTAGACATACAAGTCAAAGTTCAGAGGAGATTCACACTAGAATTACAGAAAAGTAAAAGACAATTTCTTCCTGAGCATATCATATATATTTTAGGACAGTGGTCTCCAGGCTTGCTTGGGTATCAGAATCACCTAGAAAGCTTCTGAAATCCAGATGCCTGCCCTACCCCAACTTACAGAACCCTGTCTTAAGGATGGGATATTTTTCTTCTAAGAATAGTTGCCAAATAGCATGAAGGCTGCATTAAAGACACCTGGGGAGATTTTCAAACTAAGCACCAAGGTTTGTGAGTCAGAAAACCAAAACCAAAACCAAACCCATTGCTGTGGAGTTGATTCCGACTCATAGTGGCCCTATAGGACAGAGTAGAACTTCCCCATAGGGTTTCCAAGGAGCAGGGAACAGCTGGTTGATTTGAACGGTGGACCTTCTGGTCAGCAGCTAAGCTCTTAACCACTACACCACCAGGGCTCCTTGTGAGTCAGAACTGGATTCAAAATCTAAGTCTGCAATCTATTAGTTGTACAGCCTTGGGCAAGCTGCTTAACCTCTACCAGCCTTCCTTCCACCACTTGGGGAAACTAAGTAGGCTGATCCCGCAGAGCTTCTGTGAGAACAAGAGAGGGCAAACACACAGCACTCAAAACATAGCAATTAGCAGTAATTAGCTAATTGCTCAGTAATTAGCAGCTGTTTTTTCTTTTAACAAGAAAATTGCATCACCCTATATGAATGTTCTGCACAGCACTTAGCCTTTTGGGGCATTTTTTCTGTAATGTTTGTCTTTATTGCCCCATTAGAATTGGAACCTAGGCTTCGTGAAAGCAGTGACCAGCCTGACTTGTTCACTGCTATATCCGCAGCACCTAGAACCTGGTAGCCACTATAAATAATAAATATAAGAATCATGGAGTAGTGCAGAGAAATGCTTAGAATACAATGTTAACTGAAGCATCATATATGATGTGTGTGTGCTGAGTTTCCTCCAGCTATGAAGAGACTATCTGCTCTATCTCCCTCACTGGGTTAAATTCAATGGTGTATGGGGAAGTATCTTAAGCTGTAAAAAACTATATATTCATGGTTAAGATTCATCTTAAAACCTAAGTCGCCTCAAGATCATAATATTAACTTCAAAGAACTGGAGGGGGCAAAGCAACCTCCCATGAGAAGTATAACTAACAGGGAATAAGAGACAGAGAAGAAATTATGATAGCCTTACTGGAGTTAAGAGCACCAGCCAGCTGGCCCACAAGTCATAATAAACAGAAGGGGAAAAAAAAAAAAAACCCAGTAAGGGGAAAGCCAACAGTGGGTTTTGTGCTAAGAAAACCACAAATGCACCTCTTGAATTCCCCTCACTAAGGAGAGAACCAATGGGTCACACTCACCCAGCAGGGCAGCCACTATGCCCACCAGCCCCGTGCCGGCACCCAGCTCCACCGCAGAACAGCCCCTGAGCTCCACAGCTCCCATCTCCAGATATGCAGAAAGAACAATGGCCTGAGTCAAAACACAAGTGTGATTGTGATTAAGGTCAACATGTGCTTTACAGGCTACAGGGTTTAGGTAGGCTACGCACTGGCAGGAAGAGACCCCAGACACACACATGCATACACACAGACGCCCTCCACTGTGAGGTTCAATTTCCAATTTAACCATACACAGGACCTTAGCTGCTGCTTCGAGGTGATCTGCAAGAGCACAGATATGGCATACCACAACACAACTTCCCCAGTCTCTGCCAAAGTCCCTAACAGGGACAGCAGTGCTCAGTAACACTGTCTACGTAAGACGGGGCTTGCTGACTCTGGGGAGTTTAATTTCATGCTGTGTCACAGTCCTTTTACACTTGAGGCTTATAAAACTATTCTGGAAGAACTAACATGAACAATCTGTGATTCTGTTTAAGGGAACATCCAGTTCCTAAACCAAGCTCAGGTCAGCCAGGCCACATCCTCACCCAGGGGAAAAAAGCAGAGCAGTGCCTAAGGGTCCCAGAACTTTGTACCTCCCTCTCCCTCTCGTGTCCCAGTGCGATCCGTGCCCCATGGGAGCTCTCACCATATATTTTGAGCATCAGAAGATAAATTTTAGCCAAAAATTTGGACACCTGATGTGTGAGTAAGCACTTGCTTATAAGTCTATAAAAGAATTGTACCGTTAACATAATTTTTAATATAATTTGTCGTTCGTGGCCATATAATATTCCAATTCCTCTTCTTGGTGAGCATTCCTCACCATTATTTATCCTTATAACTCTTTACATGAATACCTTTCATGTAGTTACCTTGGACCAGATTCCTAGAAGTGATATTACAGGGTTAGAATACATTAACATTTTTATTCCTAAATGTTTACATAAGATTCCTAATACACTGTTAATAATGTAAAATAGAACAGATGCCAATCATTTATTCAACATCAACTGAGCTCCCACTGAGTCCCAGGTGTGGGGCTAGATGCTGAGGACACACACCACTGTCCTCAATCCAGTAACAGTGCTTCAAGAGAAAGAAGTAAAAACACAATTATAATTGTGCCATGGTTACAACTATGGAAAACGTTAACGAAAACACATGATCTTTATTTGCGGAATTATCACCTTACAATATTCTTTGTGCAATTTTTAAAAAAGACAAGGTTAATGGTTGTCAAAAGCAGTCTCCTGCTTTCTTTCCACTGCCCCCTCACCCTGGCAGGTCATTTAACCTCCCTCAGCTTTCATTCACTCACCCTTAAAATACCATGGTGGGGGACAAGGGGAGTGACTCCTAGTGGGTATGTTTTTTTAGGAGGAAGTGATGAAGTGTTTTAAAATGGATTGCGGTGATAGCTGCACAACTCTTGTGAATATACTAAATACCACTGAACTGTATGTTTTAAAGAGCTTGGCTGGTAACCAAAAGGTTGGCAGTTCAAATCCAGCAGGTGCTCCCTGGAAACCCTATGGAGCAGTCCTACTCTGTCCTATAGGGTCTCTATGAGTCGGAATCTACTCGACGGCAGCGGGTTTGGTTTGGTTTGGTACATTTTAAACGGGTGAAATGTATGGTATGTGAACGATCTATCAATAAAGCTCTTTTTTGTTTTTTAAAATAATCTATGAACCAGTCTTATTATCAAGCGTGGATGTTTTCAGAGGTCCCCAGAGCATGCTTACCGCATCCCAAACCACCGCAGCGACTCCAAGCTGCCTCCAGTCCTGCCGGATCTGGATTGTGTGGTTTGCAAAGAAGAAGGTGGCAAGAGGCTTGTGGAATTTCTGCAACCCCATCACCGCGGTCTCCTCGTAAGGGACGAGGGCCATTTCGCCAGCGCCCAGCTCTCTGCTCCTTCAAGCCTGTCATGCAAAAGAGTCCTTGCTGATGCTCTGACCAGAAAACGCATTATCTCTTAAGTAGCTGCAAAGCTGTGTTAAGTTCAAAAGAACGAAACAATGCGAGAAAGAGAGTAGGAAAGAAGGGAGGAGGAAGCCTGTGTCTAATTCCTTTTGTATGGCTTTTCCTTCCAGTCTCATGACAAGTGAGGTTTAGCTCTTAATTTAGAATGTCTTTGGGCAAATGAACCCAGAACGTTATAACCGCTGCACGATGCCCTACACTTTTATCCAGTTACCACTCCGTGAAGCCGGATAAGGTGCGCAAAACACGGTGCCGGCCGAGGGTCGTCAAACAGACAAAGTAGGGCTTTCTAAACTGTCCTGACCGCGTCCACTGCCGCTGCAGCCCAACGCTGGACGCCTGGGTTTGGGTGTGTGGGTGTGGGTGTATCGGTCTGTCTGTGCGTTTCCAAATCGTTCACAACAATGGAACCGAACTTGCACTTGGACTTGGTGGTAACGTTTTGATTATCCTGCTTATTGACACTAGCCGGATATATACGCTCGATAATGTTCATCTACTTGAGACTGGAAGCGAAAGACACTCGGGGAATCCGAGTCGCTCGTGGGGAGCGCGAGGACCAGAGCCCGGGCGTCCGCGGCTCAAGAGGCCTCCCCGCAGCCCCCTAAACTCGCCCTCGCCCCTCTAAAGGGTCGACAGTGCGTCCTTCCTTCCCGCCGGCCCCCGGCTCCAGGAGCTGGGCGGGGATGGGCGCCCACAGGGCCCTTCGGGACCCGCCGGCCGCGCGGGACGCCCACCCAACCCCAGAGCGCCCTGAGTTTCCCGGACCGAGTGCCGGAGGCACGCCTAGGCCGCCCCCGAAGTGCGGCCCACAAGACACCCAGGCCCGAGGCGAGGACCCGCGGTACTTACGGCTCCGGAGGCGGCCGCAGCGCCGCACGAGCTTCGCTTTCCCCGGCCCGGAGGTTGGCTGCGGAAACTACCAGCCTTAGACGGCGGGAGAGCCCGAGCCACGCCCGGCAGTGGCGGTGGCGGCGCCCGAAGGCGGCGGATGGGTGGCCCCGCCCAGAGACACGCGTTTCCGGTGCCCCCACGCCGCTCTCCGGGCAGGTACTGTAGCGGATGCCCTGCGATGGGGCGCGGAGGAGGGGGGGGCGGGGAAGCGGGTCGGAGTTTCCCCACGTGGGGCCCCAGGGTGTTCGGGTGTGACCAAAGGAGTTTCCCCGGCCGCCGAGGGGAGCTTGGGGGGAAAAGCGAGGTGCCGAGCAGCTGGCGCGCCGGCGGCGAGTGAGAGGAAGCACTGCGTACGCGCTTATGCGGGTTCCACTTTTTTAACCATGTGCTTGGGCTCGCTTTCTCGCATTTTGATTGTTTTTAGTTTCGAAGGTGGCCAGTTAGCGAGTGTAGGAGAAAATTCGCCCCGAAGAAGGCATGATCACCCCTTCGTCCCAGCGTCACTGAAGTGGCGTAATTGCCGGCTTGACAGCAACAGAGTGGAAAAAGTCAAAAAGCCCGCTCAACTAAAGCGCAAACGGGGAGACCGGACGTGGTGCCCAGGCCTTTATTTTAAAATGGGTCGGGTCGGCTGGGCCCGGGAGCGCGCCTTCGGCCCCAGACCCTGACCCGGGCACTGGCTGTAGATTCCGACGTGCTAATATCCCTCTTACCGGAGCCAACTGGTAGTGCACCTGCCCTTAGGGCACCTATGCTTGATATAGAAGGAGCTAACGGCAGCCGGGCCACGACCTCTGGGAGAGCGCGGGCCAGAGTCAGCGCCCAGTGTGACTGCGCGGGAGGCGGCATCCTCTTCTCAGAGACGGTTTCTCTTTCTTGCCCGACCTTAACCCCAAGTTCCGCCCCCCCCCCCCACAACTCCGCCGTTCTCTCGCTAATTCTCATCCTTGGCTGCACTTTAGAATGAATTGGAAAGATTTAAAACTCCCCATATCCTGTCCCGCCCCAGAGAGGTTCTGTTGGTCCGAGGAGAGGTCCGGGCCTTGGTATTTTTAAGAGCTCCCTAGCCCTGGTGTGCAGTGGTTAAACGCTTGGCTGCTAACAGAAAGGTCAGCGGTTGGAACGCACCAGCCGCTCTGTGGGAGAAAGATGTGGCAGTCTGTTTCTGTAAAGAGTACAGCGTAGGAAAACCTGTGGGGCAGTTCTACTCTGCCCTATAGGGTCGCTGTGAGGTAGAATCTACTCAACTGGCAACTGGTTTGGTTTTTGGTTTGGTTGGCACCCATACGCAGCTAGGGTTGAGCGCCTCGTCTCTCCGGCAGGGGGCGTGCGGGGCCTCGCTCCTGGTCTCTAACCTGCCAACATAAGACTGTGGACCGGCTGGGAAGAGGGTTTGAAGTGAACTTTGAAGACCACCAGCCATTTACCTCTTTTTTTGTCTTCTCTCCCTCTCCTTTTTTTTTTCTTTTTCCGTATCTCTCTCTCCTAGTATTTCCTTTCTTATCTCCTCTGTCTCACTGTGCTTCCCCTGCCTCTTAATTTTCCTTTCCTTTTTTTAAACCTCTCTTTCTTCCCCTTATTTTCTGTCTCCCTTTCTTTGTCCCTTTTCTTTGGGGAGGCAACTTTGGGCACAAGAAGAATCATAGAGAGACCTTAAAAATTCAGATTCCGCCTCTGACACTTTAAATGAGATGACCTTGAGGAATTGCTAAACCTCCCTAAACCCCAAGCCTCCTCATAAAGCCTGGCCCCTCCTCCATCCCTTTTCCCTGTTCACCTTTTCTGCTGAAATCATGCATATGTCTTCAAATAAAAGATGAGGAGACACCCTTCCTAACCTCTCCAGCACTCTGCTAACATAGGAGGATATTTACCTCATATTTGCTGACGGAATATCTAGAAAGATGTCATTTACTATTTCTCAACACTAATAGACAAGTCTGTTCTGCTTTGTTTAAAATAATGTGGGTTCTACAATTTCTGAGACCAACTCTTCAGACAGGGATTGGACTGGACTGTGGGACATAAAATGATGCTTGTGAGGAGTGTGCCTCTTAGCTCAAGTAGATACAGGAGACTAGGTGGGCAGCTTCTGTCCAGAGATGAGATGGGAAGGCAGAGAGGGTTAGGAGCTGTTTGAATGGACATGGAGAATCATAGGTGGAAAGGAGGAGTGTGCTGTCACAGTGTGGGGAGAGCAATTAGAGTCACGTAGCAATGTATGTCTACATTTTTGTATGGAAGACTAATGTGAAATATAAACTTCGTTTAAACTATAACAATAAAAAATAAATAAATAATGTGGGTTCTAATTGACACCAATTGGTCCAGGAAACACCTGCCCCCCGTGAATATTTGAAAATTAATTTTTAATCGTTGAAAAAAGTGGGTATGTAGTAGGTGATATGATTTGTTTAAAATGATCCACCTTGTTCAGAGACTGTCCCGGGTGGCCCTTCCCAAGGTAGAAATATCTCCTCACTCTATTGAGGTCAGATTTGGCCATGTGGCTTGCCTTGGCTAATGGAATGAGAGTAGAAATGACAGTGCCACCTCTGAGCAGGAGCGCTAGGTGCCGTTCATGGCCGAGCCACTGCTCTTTCCCTCTGTTCAAGAACTGTACGCTCAAGAGTTGAGAGCCCCTTAATGGTAGGTCCCCAGTTGGAGCAGAGCCACAGCTGATCTGTGAAATACATGAAACATGAGGGAGAAATAAACCTGTGTTGAGGTAAACCATTTAGATTTGGGAGCTGTTGCTACAGTATAATTTAGCAGAGCTGACAGAACACAGGTATGAAAGAGGCATGAAATTTCAAAAATTAGCCAAGGTGTTTTAGTACGGATAGTGTTATGGGATGATTTGTGTCCCCCAAGCAGATATGTTCACATCCTCACCTCACGTGTGAATGTGACCTCATTGTTAAATAGGGTCCTTGCAGATGTAATCAAGTTAGAATGAGGTCATACTGGAGTAGGGTGGGCCTGATACCCAATATGACTGGTGTCCTTATAAGAACAGGGGAGAAGAGACAGACGCAGAGGGAAAACGACCTCGTAATGACAGGCAGAGATTGGAGTTGGAGTGGTGCTGCCACAAGCCAAGGCAGACCTGGAGTGCCAGAAGCTGGGAAAGTAAAGGATCATCCCCTGGAGCCTTTGGAGAGAGCATGGTCCTGCTGACACCCTGAATTCAAATTTCTAGCCTCCAGAACCGTAAGAGAATAAGTTTCTGTTGTTTTTGTGGTAATTAGTGATGGTAGTCCTAGGAAACAAATGCAGATGGCTCAGTTTCCCTTTTCAGTAAAGTTGATCCTTTTTTTTCAGAGATCTGCCTAGCTCATAATGACCCCCTTAACTGCCCTACACCTGGGCCCCCAGTGGCAGCATCAGCTTCACACTGCCTTAACACCTTCATCGATCTGTGATTCTAGAACTGAAGACACTGCTTCTGCTCTTAGATTGGCTGAGAATGAGCAAAAAGATTTATTTTCTGTATTTTCTGTAATTCTAAAGTCCAGTTTAATGATAATTTAACAGTTTACCAAATATGTGTTTTTTCCTTATGGAAATGTGGACTTGGCTCCTTTTCTCTGGTCCTCTCCTGAACCCACACAACTAAAAAGGGAGCATGCTTGCACTTCTCCTCTGGCTCAGAGAGTACCCCATGCACCTTCAGACTCCTGAACACTTTCATACCCACTTAACCCCTCGTGGGCAGCAGAAGTTAGAGTGGGGGTAAAATATAAATAAGTACACTCAGAGGGATTTGGTTGATAGCTTTTTGTTTTTATCTGTATGACTAAAATTGCCTTTCCCTAATCATATGACACCTCACCAGGGAATAATGGTAAAGGGCACTTACTCTTTTGTCCGTCCTGTTTTCTGGAACTGGTCCATGTACAAGGTCACAGAAAAGCAGCCACCTTGGTACCATGTGATCCCTACCCCACTCTCGCCTGGGGTGAGGATGGATACCAACCCATGCTGGATA